GATGGAAAATAATCAAGAAGAGAAGCAACCTAGAACTAAGGAGAAATTTCCTGACAGTTAGAACAATTAATCAGTGGAACAACCTGCCTCCAGAAGCTGTGAATGTTCCAACACTGGAAGTTTTTAAGAAGAGATTGGACAACCATTTGTCTGATATGGTATAGGGTTTCCTGCCTGAGCAGGGGGTTGGACTAGAAGACCTCCTAGGTCCCTTCCAATTCTATTCTATTCTATTCTATTCTATTCTATTCTATTCTATTCTATTCTATTCTATTCTATTCTACTCTACTCTACTCTACTCTACTCTACTCTACTCTATTCCATTCCATTCCATCCCATCCCATCCCATTCCATTCTAGACCCCATAGTTCAACCTAAGCTACAAATATTATCTTCTGAATTATTTTAACAAAACAAAACAAAAATGTGGGGCAGTTAGCATAGGAAGAGAGAGGAAAGAGAAAGAGAGAGAAAGAGAGAGAGAGGGAGAGGAAAGAGAGAGAAAGAGAGAGGAAAGAGAGAGAGAGAAAGAGAGAGAAAAGAAAGAGAAAGAGAGAGAGAGGAGAGAGAGAGGGAGAAGAAAGAGAGAAAGGGAGAGGAAAGAGAGAGAGAGAAAGAGAGAGGGAGAGGAAAGAGAAAGAGAGAGAGAGAAAGAGAGAGAGTGAAAGAGAGAGAAAGAGAAAGAGAGAGAGAGGGAGAGGAAAGAGAGAGAGAAAGAGAGAGGAAAGAGAAAGAGAACGAGAGAGAGAGAGGGAGAGGAAAGAGAGAAAGAGAGAGAGGGAGAGAGGGAGGGAGAGGGAGAGGGAGGGAGGGAGGGAGGGAGAGAGAGAGAGAGAGAGCACGATTCTAGGATTCCGTTTTTTTCTCCTGTCACTTGAAGCAAAAAGGGTTTGATGAAGAGTCCTGCCACCTTGCTGGTTCAGGAAAAAAATACAGTAAAAAAAGAAAACAAGGACTTCTCTGCCCTAATATAATTTGGGGTGTAGTAGTTATAGATGGGACATGGTCCACAGAATTCAAGTTATTCCATTCTTTCCTTCTTGACAGACCTTGTTAAAGAGACTTTTCAATAATCATGCTTGGAAAAGGAATTATTTTAGCTCTTAGGTTCAGGCCAAACAACCTGTCATTTCCTGACTTATTTTCTCAGGATTTTCCTCACTTTTAATGCTATAAGCTGCTGCCATTTTCAGACAAGTTGGGGGGGGAACCGAGAGAAAAAAGAGAGAGAGAGAAAGAGAGAGAGAGAGAGAGGGGGGGGGAGAGGGAGAGAGAGGGAGAGAAATCCCAGCGATTACTATCTGTCTGAATGAAAGGAAGTTCCAACTTGTCAGTTAAACAAAGCAATAACACAGAGCTCTTCTTTATAGTCTGTGTTTTCATCCAACAGACCATTATCACGTCATGCCAGAGTGTTCCCTTCTCCAGGTCACTTGGTTTAAAATGACATGGATAATGCACATGTCAGGAAGCTGACAGCTTTGACTGTCCTTCAGAGATTTAAGAAAAGAGAGAAAAGGGGAAAAAAACGAGCAAAGGAAAGGAAAGAAAAATGCCTGTTCATATCTGTGGTCCACGCCTCGGGTCTATCTTCGAAGTCAGGCAGAACATGATTTCTCCAGGGACCCCTTTTTTCATTTCCTGATTTTAAAGAAATCAAATAAGCACCATTTGTCTTCATCTGAATATGCTTGACCCGTTCAAATGACGGTATGTCACTTTTTTCTTTCTTTCCCTTTTTCTTTTTTATGAGAACAAGCAACGTTTGCTGAATTTGCAATGAAGGGAACGGAAGACTCTTAGAACGCTGTCGAGACGTGCCTGCGCACGAAGGATTGAAAGCACCTTCTCCGGAGGGAACCGATTCAATTTAAGAAGGCAACTTATTTTTCTTTAAAATTCACACCGAATGAATTCATCTCACTCCTGGTGAAGGGTGGGGAGAAATGAAAAACACCTTGAAATTGGAAGGCTCAAGGTGAGGAGAAGAACCTGGGGCTTTAAGGTGAGTAGTGTTAGATACACATCTCCATCTACAGAATGTGGTCAGGGAATCCTTTGATCAGTTGCATCCCTTTCTGGACTTGGAGGCGTGGCTTAGTGACCCATGTCTCAGTCAACTTCTGATTGGATTACAAATAGTACGTCAACGCTGCTAACACCGGATGTTTTTGCTTTGACAACAGTTAGAGATGCAACCATTTTCTTCTTATGTTTCACTTTTAGAGTTAGATGATGCTGGGGGGGGGAGGGATGTGCATGAGAGTTTAGATAGACATAATAAAATTGGACTAGCATGTGAACCAAGGTTAATGAAATAAGAGATAAGAAGAATTGGCCAGGCTGGAGAACTGGAGGGAGAACCTGCATTTCAAACTAATTGAAGAATGTGATTTATGACAGTTAATTGGAGGAGGGAATTGTGCTTTGATACTATGTGCTCAAGGGAGGGGAATCCAGTTTTTGGCTTCAACTGTGTTAGTGCGGATGCTATGCTACTCAAATAAAGATTCTTTAAGGTAAACAATGCCTCAGAAGTTCTTTGAAGAGTTTCATCTGACATAGTCCTTGACTTACAACCATTCACTTAGTGACTGTTCGAAGTTACATTGGCGCTGAAAAGAGTGACTTATAATTAGTCCCCACATTTACAACCATCATATCATCCCCACATTCATGTGATCAAAATCCAGATGCTTGGCAACTGATATGTATGTATGATGGCTGCAGCATCCCAGGGTCATATAAGTGTCATGTGAGATCTTCCCAGACTACTTCCAACAAGCAAAGTCAATGGGGGAAGCCAGATTTACTTAACAACCACGTGATTCACTTAACAACTAAACTGATTTGCTACTGTACTTTGCTTTTAAAAAAACTTGGCCTACATGACCAACCATTGCCTGTGTTATATCGTATATAACTGGCCTGATATAGCCTCACACTCTCTCCCTCCACCACCACACATAGAGTAATATGATCACAAAGGTACAATGGGTGTATGTTTTCACTGTTTAGTTCTAGAGTGTTCACTGCTATCATTTTTGCACCAGCAGGAGTACATCACAATTAAGCTTGACTTTCATGCCTTGCTGGATAGTTAAGATGTCTATATAAATAAATAAAACAAAACAAGAACTGATACATCACGAGGTTTAATTCATCACTGACAAAATTATGGTTCCTAAACTGCAGATGCCATAGTCAATACCAACATTATTCCCCAACAAGAAGATCACTAATCATGCTTGCATTCCAAACATAAATACTGTCAATGAAAGCTGTGTAGCCTGTTAATTAGTTTTGTAGTAATTTAACTGGATTGAGAAAACAGTTTTAATTTGTTATGGCCATTTATATATTAACAATTCCATGGAGCTTTGTTTCTGGAGGCTGGGGAAGGGGAACACATGCATAACACAATTTATATTGTATTATCTGTATTCATCTGCCCTCCTATGATGTCCAGTGTTTTAAGCTAAGAAATATAATGGTGTCGATCCAATATAATATATTTTGCAGCCAGTGAATCCATATTTGAAATAGATTCCAGTGTGTTCTGAGAACCAACTCTGCAAATAAAAGAACTTTGTAGGACAAAAGAAAATCTTTACCACCCAATTTTCAAGCATCAATATTCAACAAAACAAAAGTCAATATGGTAGTCCTCGACTTATAACAGTTCATTTAGTGACTGTTCACAATTACAATGGCATTGAAAAAATGATCTAATCACCATTTTTCACACTTATGATCATTGCAATATCCCTATGGTCACATGATCAAAATTTGGATGCTTGGCAACTGACCTTATTTACGACTGTTGCAAAGCCCCAGGGTCACATGATCACCTTTTGTGACCTTCTGACAAGCAAAGTCAATGGGTAAGCCAGATTCACTTAACAACCGTGTTACTAACTAAACAACTGCGGTGATTCACTTAACAACTATCACAAGAAATGTCGTAAAATGGGGCAGAACTCGCTTAACAAATGTGTCACTTAGCAAGAGAAATTTTAGGCTCAATTATGGTCATAAGTCGAGGACTACCTGTATTTAAAATACCGTAAATGCCAGCGTATAATACGACTTCCGTGAGTGCTGAAATTGGCACCAAAGACGGGGGTCGTCTTATACGCCGGAAATACTGGTAGTTTCCGGCGTATAAGACGAAGTTCTAGGAATGCGGCCCGGCTATAAAGATGGGGGTCGTCTTATACGCCGGGTCGCCTAATACGGTGGTATATACGGTAGCAGAATTACTGATTTTGCACAAATAACCAGAATACTGTCACAGGAGTCAAAGCTAATTAATGAAGTACATGGTCCCACCATCCACAAAACAACATAATATTTTTCACATCATTAATTTAATTATTTAAATTAATTAAATAATTTCACATAATTAATAATAACAAATAAGTCCATATTATTTTCTAAGGCAACTTGGATTAAAACACCTACAACCATTGGGGATATTGAAAGTGGATGATAGACATGACCCAATTACCTATCCTTATTCAAAGCAGCAATTCTTAATCTTTGCAATGTTAAGATGTGTGGACTTCAATTTCCAGTATTCTAGCTAGGGAATTCTGGGAGTTGAAGTCCACACATATTAAAATTGCTGAGACTGAAAACACTGGTTTTAACAGTAGGTCTTGCAGACGTATGCATGACTCCATTTTGGATAAACTGTATAGAATCACAGGATGGTTTATGCCTCAGACAAAGGGGCAAACAGGAAATTCCCACTATAGAGCTATTGAAGTCTACAGTAAGTGAATTATGGATCCAGTAACTCAACAGAGGAAAAATCATCTTTGGTCAAGCATGGACCATGATGGGATGTTGAGGTTATAGATTTAGCACAGCAAACATTTTACACATTTCAGAGTAAAATTCACATGAACTAAAATAAAATGTAAGAACTATGAACCACGAACCATACCAGAAATAACTGCATAAAGGGGGAATATGATACCAGAAACTGACTTTACCTTTTCTTCTTGATCACTGTCGCTGTCACACTGAAATAGAAAAGAAAATATTACCTTCAAAAACAATCCACAGATGTCGAAAGCTTTCTGTGTTAATGAAAATCCATTTCAAGGGTGTAACCTATAGAGGTATAATCTTTCAGAACACATCAAGTTTTTCCGCAGGGTTGAAAATGGCCCACCTGGTGGAGGGCCACAGCATGTCTAACTAATATCAAATACAACCTCAATTACATGGAACAACTCTGTCCTCCATTCAAGGTCAACATTTTCCCTACGTTTTGGCCAAATTAGCCAGACTATGAGAAATCTTAGCATCTAACTGACCTTGTCTGGGCATGGAAGCTAAGCAGATTCAGGCCTAGTTAGTATTTGGATGGGAGATTATCAGGGAATGCCAGGGCTGCAGATTAGCTTGAAAAGTCAACAAACAACACCCTGGAAGAAGGCAATGCCAAACAACATAATGTTGAAAAGAAAACTGCATAGATGTGTTCATGTGTTCATCCAGAAGTTGAGTTCAACCTAAAGGGGATTGGACTCTACATTTTCTGTACCAGATATGACAGTTCACTGTCATAAATTGTAAATCTTTAGAAGTAGTCCTCAACTTACGGCCACAACTCATTTATGGCAAATTATGATGACACACTAAAATGATGATGCATGCCCAATGCCCTCACCTCTCCAGCCTTTCATAATTGCTCCTGAATATTTGATGCAAGAATGTAAGTCAGGGATCTCCAAACCTGGCTGTTTTAAGACTTGTGGACTTCAACTCCCAGAATTCTGGGAACTGAAGTCCACAAATCTTAAGGCACCAAGTTTGAAGACCCCTGATGTAAGTCATGACATCTTCACATTTCTCATTGCTTTTAATGGACAAGCTCAAACTGAACGCAGCAATATTTAAGAAACAAACAATGGAAATACTTTTACACTCAGTATGTTATTAAACTGAAACCAGAGTCATTTGTGAAGGAAAAGATTATTGATAACTACTATAGTGGGGGGAGGGGGGCACGGTGGTTCAGAGGTTAACGACACTGAGCTTATCAGCTAGAAAGTTGACAGCCCAGATTCGAGACCCGAGTGCCACACAAAGGGGTGAGTTCCCATTACTTGCCCCAGCTCCTGCCCACCTAGCAGTTTGAAAGCATGAAAATGCGAGTAGATAAATAGGTACCACTTTGGTGGGAAGATAACAGCATTCTGTGTGCCTTTGGCATATAGCCTTGCTGGCCACATGACCACAGAAATATCTTTGGACAATGCTGGCTCCCATGGCTAGGAAACAGAAATGAGCACCACCATAGAGTCAGATACGGCTGGACAGGAAAACCTTTACCTTTACCTTCAAAACAGTTGGTGGATGCTGAATTGCGGACAGCATATCTGAAGTATACAATATGGGAGATGGCAGTAGAAGTGTCTCTCACCCTTTAGTCTGGGTTTGTGATCTTCCCCAAAGTATCTATTTGGCCATCATGAATCACAGAAAACTGGATTAGATGGGCTGTGGCCTGGTTCAGCAGGGGTCTTCTTATATTCATTAAAAAAACTATTTCCAAAATAGTTGGGCTGCAAAGCACAAGCCTTTATTTTCAGTGGCTAGTAAGAAAACCCAATAGAATTCTGTGCCTCCGATGTATGATTACTCATGGATAAGGAAGGAGAACAGGATGAGATCCCAGACAGATGTCACATCAAAAAGTCAGGCTGCAGCACCAGTGATGAAGCAGAACCATGACCTACCTCTATGATAGGTTTATGACTGAAATTTTGAGTTAGCAAGAAGAGACTGGACAACCATTTGTCTGAAATGGTATAGGGTTTCCTGCCTGAGCAGGGGGTTGGACTAGAAGACCTCAAAGGATATTATTATTATTATTATTATTATTATTATTATTATTATTGTTGTTGTTGTTGTTATCAATAATAATAATCCTAATCCCCTAATCTGTGGGATAATGATTACCACTGTCTGAAAAGCCAAAATGGATGGATAGACCTAGCCTAGTTGGGAAATGGCTAGCATCAGGTGTGCTTAGAACAAGAACAGGTCAATTCAAAGCTATGAGTGCTATATAACATTGGAATAACATTTGACAACAACTCAACTTTCTATATGCTATTCTTGCCTTCAAGTTATCATAATTTCTCTAGAAATGTAACCCTCTTGTCTGGATTCAAGCTTGCCTATAGTTTTGCCCATTGAACCATGGCCAGGCCCTAGGTCATCAACTTTGCTCATGAACTGTGATTAAGGCTTCAACTTTATTTTTTGATCTCAACTGGGAATGCCTCTGCAAATTTCAACATGATACCTCTAACTCAGTTTAACAAAGCATAAGATCACATAATATTAAATGCCCAATTATATAATCTTGTTCATTCATTCATTCATTCGATGTATACAGATTCCTATTGCAAAGCAATGATGCTGGGTGCTACACAGAGGATTAAAATAAAGCACAGCAAAATAAAAACAGTAACATACTCTGCAAAATACTATAAACAACCTTGCTAGATAGACATGATGGTCTGGTTCACATACCACCTCCGGATTGACGAAATATGTAAACCCATTTTGGCTCAATATAAACATGTTGTATGAACACAACCATCAAGTCTTACCATTGATCAGTTGCACAAATTTGGTATGTTTAATAAAAAGGGGTATGTTTAATGAAAATAAGGGGTGACGTGATAGTAGTGTTCCAATATCTAAGGGGTTGCCACAAAGAAGAGGGAGTCCAGCTATTCTCCAAAGCACCTGAAGGCAGGACAAGAAGCAACGGATGGAAACTAATCAAGGAGAGAAGCAACCTAGAACTAAGGAAAAAATTCCATGAAAGTTAGAACAATTAACCAGTGGAACAACCTGCCTTCAGAAGTGGTGAGAGCTCCAATGTTGGAGGCTCTTAAGAAGAGATTGGGAATCAATTTGATGTGGAATCTTATAACAGCTGCAAGATTATTGGTGGGGCAATAGTGGAAGAAAAACTCACTGCCTACTTTGGAAGAATGGATACTTAATGTGTCTAATTTAGCAGAAATGGCGAAAATCTCCGCCTACTTGAAGGACCATTCACAAGAAAGATACATTATGGTTTGGAGAAGATGGATTGAGTATATTCAAAAGAAATATGAAACTGAAAAGTATTACCTTGTTTTTGAGTAGATTTTAGATAATTATTAATAGTTTTAATTATATTATTATTTTTGTTTTAATTTGTTAATATTTGTTTTGAGAAGGAGTTAAAGTGTGTTATGGTTTGATTGATAGTATAGTTGGTTTATGTTAGTTAGATTATGTTTGTTTATTTGTTACCCTGTAATCAGCTCTGGGAAGTGGGTGAGGGGGGGAAGGGGTGAGGGGTGGGGGGGGTTTATATTGTAATAAATTTGTAAAACTTTTAATAAAAAAAAGAGATTGGGATTGGTACAGGGTTCCTACTTGAGCCGGGGGTTGTATCAGAAGATCTCCAAGGTCCCTTCCGAATCTGTTATTCTGTTATCTACCTACTTCAGTAATTCCAGGCTGGCCTTTTTTGTAGATTACAAGAGCACACTAATTTTTAATTGCTCCACCTGCAGGTGAGGCTAGCAAGAGTCATCAATGGGGAGGTGAAAACATCAGGGGGGGGGGAGGAGAACAAAGCGGGAGGGAATGTCAAGGTCTTTTTGCTTATACAATTATATTTGGCATGATGAGGTGGTCTTTTTAGCAATCCTAATTCCTTTTATTGGCAGGCAATCACTCTGCTTTAAGTGGTGGTAGGCTGCTGAGTTTTGATAATGTAATATTGGGACATTTCAGAAGCCATGAAATATCTTCCTGGGACTGGCTGATATTTCCCTAGGATATCAGGACCTTCCAAATGCAAACCAAGGGCTTTAGAATTAAGCTATGTCTTTTCCTAGCATTCTTTGCCATGACATTAAATCGCTGCCTTCTTGTTATGCCATCCAGTACATGTTGGTGAGCGTGTAAGTCTGTGTTGTGTTCTAAGCTGCACAGCTTTAACTGAGGAAAAGGAGTGAGTGCCTTTTTTTTCCCCTTCTGCCATCTACCCAACCCATAACTCATTAGATCTCACTGTGAAGCTAATCAACACCATCTGAATTTTCGCATGCGATGTTATCTTGCGCAGCAGCGATGCTGCAGAGAACGCTGGAAGCAATACAATCCCCAGGAACCACCGTTTCCACTGCCAATATATTATGCTTTCCTGCCTTTTCCGACAGTCCAGTTCTAATTTCAAGGTCCACTTAATTCTTCCATCAAATCATTACTGCTGTACCCAGCAGCACCTTCTCTCCAGAGCTAAGCATATGGTAGAGGGCTGAGGCCGACTGGCTTCCATTATGGAATCGGAGCTGGTGCCAAGCTGATTTTAAAGGGAAATAGGAGAGGGTATTTGTGGTGTGTGTGTGTGTGTGTGTGTGTGTGTGTGTGTGTGTGTGTGTGAGAGAGAGAGAGAGAGAGAGAGAGAGAGAGAGTGTGTCTCTAGAAGCTTCTTCAACTCTGAGAAGCAAAGTGTCTTTAAGGAAAAACAAAAAAAAATCCAGTTGTCTTTTGAAAAAGCACTTTGACCTGGATGACTAAGAATCTCCACAGACAGACAAGACAGACAGACAGACAGATATACGTTACCTCTTTTCCCCTTCTGACTGATGGCTTTGTGACTTGGTCAAGTCAAGGAATTGCCAAGCAGGTCCAGCCAAGCTACACACCAGCTATGGTGGGAGAACAAGTTCCATTTCTGGCACTGGATTCTTGCACTGACCCTAAACGTCACTGATTTCACTCTCAGCATGGTCGAGCCATGAAATGTAATATCTTTCTCCTTCAGAGCAGTGTCTGGCACACGAAAATAAGGCAGAGGAAGGACCCTCCAGCTCATACATTATAGAAAAGCAATAAACACACTCGGCATGCCCAACTTGGCATCTCCGAAAAAGGTCGACAGAAACACCCATGGCTATGAAAAGCCATTCTGTTCAAAAAGCAAGATGATCTATGT